ACCCCCATGAAAAAGCTTCTTCCTGGGTCTTGTTGTAGGGAACCCTTATAAACAGGTCACCTCTGTGTAACAGTGTGTCTCACTGCTGCCATACTCTCTAGGCTCCACCTCTGTCACAGCAAAGTGAATCTCCTAAAAGTGAGAAGCAGTTTGCCCTTTTTTGGCTTGTCTGGTAGGAGCAGTTGCCTTTCTGTAACAAAGATAAGAAATGCCTGTATGCCCACCTGGTATGCTATGCCCTCACTTTACTAAGACATGAAGAGTTAGTGTGCAAGAATGGGATCTCACCAATGTTAAGAACAAAATCCAAGTTGAATAACACAGCTCAGAGTGACACCAACTTTGGTATAACCTTCCACATGCTGATATTTTTTGAGATATATTTCCAGATCATTGGCATGATCAGCAGCAAGTGACTGGTGCATTTCTTACCTCCTTTTCTATCAGATACTTGCAGTATGGACTCAGTGATACATTATTTTCTTCTAACTGTACTTCAACCGTCATCTTAAATGTGGTGGCTAAGGATATTGGGCATCGTATGGCCTGGGAATTTGTTACTGAAAATTGGCCACTTTTAAGTGAAAGGTAAGTAACCAGCTTTGGCTTCCTTTTATTTCTGTGGCCCTTTGGCTTCTTCCTCCATCTTTACATTTAAGCTGTAAAATTCAGGTGCAGATTTTCCTTCCACAGGTGGCTATTTGTAAGGATTGATTCAATTTATTTATACATCATCCTCAGATACCAACAGAAACACAAACTCGTTAGAATCAGTACTGCTTAGCCTTTCTAGCTCAGTTTGGCTGTGTGGGTTCACAAAGATTATCTGTTTTGGGCAAAGAATTCATGTCACCAAAGTAAAAATACCAGATCTTACTGGGAAATGGAAATGAAGGATAATTGTTGTGCTTCATCCTGCTCAAATGTCTAAATTGAATGTTAATGGTATTTCTTTAAAAGGGAAAAAGAGTACACAATTACAAAGTTCAGCTTAGTTGGTATTTGCAACATAGTGAATAATCACTAACTAGTGTAAGTATTTTCAAATGAGATGAAATTTAGTATATTTGCTAGCATGCTGTTTGAAGGACCTTTATCTCAATTTTACAGATATGGGCAAGAATTGTTGCATGATGTATTAAAAGTCATGGGAAGATTTGTCAATACAGATCTACAGATCCAAGAGGTAAACCAGAGAAGCTTTATTGCCAGTTTTAACTTTATTGCCAGTTTGTAAATACAGGTTTTTACATCTCTTGTTTTTTAAAGAAATCATAAGACATAATTTTGATGTGTTCCAAACCTTCAGGTTTGGAGCTGAGTCCCAATAAATTCTATCAAAACTGTTTCATTTTTCTCTATAAAATCTATCTGTAGAGATAACCTTTGCCATGATGTCTAGAGAAAATGTACCAAAGTTGGGCTGCTGGCACATTAGGCTGTCATATTGGCATCTTTTTAATTTCTCATATTGTTTGTTCACCGTTCCCCCCCTATATTTCTTCACTATTTTTCAGTACTCTCTTTTCTTTTGCTTATTAGACTGATGGGAAAGATTTCTTGTTCTGTGAATGTAAAACAGGCAGCACAAGAGGATTCTGCTACCCAGCTAGTCCTAGACAGTGTGGTACCACCAGTACCAGTGAAGTTGGCTGCATTTGAAAGGATTTTTAGAGGAACAGCAAAAGGGCACATTCTTGATATGTAAGGAGCTTTCCAACCTTAGTGTAAAACAGTAAGCTTTCCCCATCTCCTCTTTAGTCTCTGTTGTCTCCTTCGTTTCTTGCACTTCTGTCTAAAGCATCTGCCAGGCACTCAGTTGCTTGCTGCAAGTGAAGTTATGTGAACTAAGCTCATGCATTTATTCCTTCAGTTGCAAGTTTTTTATAATGCTACGCTGGAAGAGGACGAGAGAGAGGCTACTACTCTGCTACTGGAATCTACAAAATCTGAAAATATTGAAAGGAAAAAACTACTAATTAAAGTTGCCAGCTGGTTAGAGAAAAATGCAGATGATTGACTTGGAAAACAATTTCCAGTATATTTTAGAGTGTGATTCAGTATCATCTTAGTATTCATTTTAAGCTGTAATTAAAGATAAAGCACATTTTTATGAGTCCCGTGGTTGTTTTCTCATCTGAAAAGTCAGGCTAAAATAATTCACATAGAAAAGAAAGATTCAGCAAAAGAAAGTATAAACATATTTGCATATTATATCTGAATTAATTTCCTACTGGATGAGATTTAGTAGGGATGCATTGCTAATGATGATCTAATGTACAGATACAGTTCTAAATCCTTCATTTTTTCTCAATATCCAAATGAAAGGTGTGGTACAAGTTGGTGGCAAAAACACATGAGGAAGATGGAAAAGGTTATATTCCATATTTCTGCTGAGCACACAGGTTTGGAGAGTGGCAACTGAGAAATGCAGCAAGGGAAGGAGAGGTGCATGGGAGGAATCCAGGACAAGCTGGGAAAGCTACTTTATTGCAAAGAGAGTTGGAATGAAAAGAAGTTCATTGAAAATGAGTATGAGGACGTGGATGGGACTCCAGGAAATGAACTTTAATAGTACCTATGAGGTCTGTGCTATGGGACGTAATTGTGAAGATGCGTGTGTACAGGGCGATTTCCAGTGAAAAAAGCTGTGTCACTGATAGACAGGATGCATCCAGTAGGCCCTGGGGGGGGGAATACATTTGATGAAAAAAGACCAGCTTTTTGCCTTAAGTCCTGCTCTCTCCCTTGAGAGCGTGGAAGTCAAAAGTTACAGTTGTTCTTCCTTTACTGCATCCCTGTGTGACAGGGCAGCATACGTCAGAGCTGGCAACAATGCATGCCAAGCAGTTCCCAGTAAAAACAGAGACTTAGAGCTGTTTAAGACAAGGTTCAAGGGTACCAGCCGACTTCTCCTCTGCACCTCCTGGCATAGTTGCCCTGCTGCCCCATTCTGCCTGCATCTCCTTTCAATCCTGGCACCCCAAGAAGCCTCCCAGGCAGATGAGGAGAAAGCAGCTAGCTGTGGGGCCTAGGTGGCCCCAGTGCAAGCCCCATGTCTCCTGGCTGCATGATGGCATGCATGGATGAGGTGGGTGGAGCAGCTTTTTGCTTCTTTCAGGGTTGTTCCAAATCCCAGAAGGGTCATTATGAGGTAGGCAAAAGGAATGGGGACTAAAATGCCATAAAATGAACGGAGATGTGGCCTTGCCACATTTCTGCTTTGCAGTGACTCATAAAATACAAAAAATGCTGTCATCTCTGCATCCCCTGGCCCAAAGGTGCAGGGGGTCCTCTGGAGCCAGGTGCGATGGATGGATCCAACCCCTTGGCCAAACTAATGGTAGTTTGGTTCAGGCTCCAAAGGCAGGAAAGGCGTAGACCATGACTTGGCTAAGAACATCCCTAGTGTCAAGCTGTTCTCTGATAGCCCATGCAGGAACAGGGTGACATGGTGAACGTTGATGCATTCGAGCTTGGAAACTGGAACACCCAATATGTGCCTAACAAAATAGCAGGTGGTTCTTCCAAGACTCATTTGTCAAGGAACACAGGGAACTGTAGGTACAAGGAGTCTTAGAGTTACCTTTTCCATCACCTGTAATTTGGCTGTGAGCCAACTGCTTTATTCCATAAATATTACAGCTTAAGAGAGCCTTCTCTGATCTCTCCCTGCTAAGCAGTTTGCTGCATGAGGTGATCTGCCTTGGAGGTGGGACACCTCTCAGGTTGCTTCTAGAGGCCGAAACACCCTTTACCAACCGCTTTGGTAAAATGACCAATATAGTGCACAACCCTGTATTATAGCACACTTAAGATTTTGCATTGGTAGCTTTGAATCATAACTCTGTGCAGTAAATAACAGAATGAAACTTGCCATTTGTTAAGTTTTACTTTTACAATATCTTGGTTCAATAAAATCACTACTGCTGATACCTTTGGCAATGGTTCTTTAAGTGGTCAAAATCTTCCCCATGACAGAGGGACAGTGGGTCCCGGTCTTTTGGGGGTTGCTGTCTGTCATTCTTTGTGATGGGATTTATGAGACAAGGACATGAGTGGGGATGGGCAGGCTGACTTTGGCTGTCTGTGAAATACCCATCCTGATGCTCTCCCACTCCTGAACAGGATGCAGGGAGAAAATGAGGTGAAATAGCTCATGAATGGAGACAAAAGACAGGGAGATAACTTACCGATTACCATCAGGGGCATGTTGTGGTTTGGAAATGGTACTCCCCAATTTAGTACTCCCACTGAGACTCTCCAAGCCATGCGTCACTCACTCACTCATTCCCTGTTCTCCCTCCCCTTGCCACTGCAGTTGGCTGGTGAGGAGAGCTGGAGACACAAAAAGGTGAGATAAAAACAATTTACTGGAAACAGCAGTGAGATAAAAATACCAAACAGTATCAGCAGCAACACTAACGACAGGGGGCACAAGAAAGAGGCGAAAAGACACTGGGTTGCTCCCTCTGCCTTGCTACACTAACTCACGACTCCCTTTTCCGTTGCCCCCCTTGTGAGGTGGTATAAAATAACATCGGGTTCCTGGCCATGCCAGGGGTCCTGGCTACTGCAAAAATTACCTTGTTAATGGCTGGAACCAGGCCTATTAAAATAGATGTCTAGTATTTCTGGCCTATTAAAATAGACTTCGATAATAAGAAACCAAACCAAAAATTAAAACATCGCCATTCCCTATGCATTCCCTTTTCCCCAGGCTCATCTTCATTCCCAACTCTTCCACTTCCTCCTGTGGAGCAGCCCAGCGAGAAGAAGGAACGGGGGCTGGGGTCAGTCCACAATCACTCCTCGCTCGCACTCCGTCCCGCTCCTCACGCTGTTTTCCTGCTCCAGGGTCCCTCCTACAGGCCGCAGTTCCCCCAACGAACACCATCCACCTGCTCGGCCCTGCGAGCCCCCGCCGCGGTCGCTCACCTCGACGCTCGCACCGTTGTTCCTCCCTTAGCGGTTTCCCCCTCGCTCCCCTGCCCGCCCGTCGTTTTTGCCGTTTCCCAAGCGGGTTTTCCCCGAGGCGCCGCCGGCTCGGCTGACGGCTCGGGCCGCGCAGAGCCGAGAGTGCGCCAAGAGGGAGCGCTGGGGCCACTCCACAACGTGCGGGGAACACCGGGGAAAGCCGGGAAGGAGCGGCGAAGCAGGCGAGTGCGGGCGGAGCGTGTGCGAGCCGAGAGGGCCAGCGGCCTCCCGCGGCCGGGATGGAGCAGGGAAGGGCGGGGATCCCGCCCGGTTCCGGTGGCAGCAGCGCTGTGGGGTGAGGGAGGTAGGAACGTGCCCCTGCTGCCGAGGCAGCTCTGTGGACACGGGCCATGGGGGTGATAAAACCGCAGCTCTGCTGTGGGCTCAGCCACACGGCGCGGGTCGGTGGGAGCGGCTGCGTTTGCCTGAGGGAGACACGGAGCCAGGCGAGGCACGGGGGGGTCTCTCCGCAGCTGGAGTGCCCGGCCGGGCAAGGAGCATTAACAGCGTTCTCTGGAGAAGGGGGATTTTTTTCTGCCCCTTGTGCCTCACGCAAGCTTTTCACACCCTCCTCTCCTCGGCATCTCGGCTACTGAAATCACCTCCCGCACTTCGTGTGCTTTTTCCCCGTCTGTTTCGCCCACGCCCCGCAGGGGCTGTTGCTGATTTGAAATAAAAACAAAGGAAGAGACAAGAGGCAGAAATACCTGATAAACTCAGTTGTTTGAAAAAAATGAGGATGAGATGAGAAGGGGGCAAATTAGCTATCAAATGTGAGGACCACCAGCTGTGGCCTCACGCCGTGCCAACATTGTAAAAACGAAATCATAGAACTCCAAGGAACTGTTTCCCAATGCGACAATAACATCACAGGTTATTTTTTTACACCGAAAAATGTGGTGTTTTTCTCTTCAGCTGCCCCACTTGTCTGGCTGCAGGAAGCTCAACAGAAATTCGACACATCTGCTCCCCCCTTTTCCCATCTCCCTTCCCAACAGTAGGGATATTTGTATTATATCTACCCATGTGAATTCACAGTCACGCGCTCATGGTGGGGAAGACTTGTCCCTGTAGGAACCCCACCAGCAGCAAGCTCTCTAAATGTCACCTAAGATTTTAATCCTTGTACATGTAGCCTAACACCCACCCAGTAAAAGCTACTTTGAGCTGATTGAAGGCTGTGTGTTATCATGTATGCCATGATAAACAAATATAACTCATGCACAAACAATTCAGGAAAAGGTCAGATACACATGTGTACTTAGTAAAATGGAAGAAAATATTAAGCATAAGATAGTTTAATTGTAACGTGTGTACTGATAGAGTTAATTCCTGTTTTCTCCCTCATGTAGAATATGAAGAAATCAGAACCTTGGAAAAATATATGACAGTAAAAGCGGTTGTAGGGTTTTTGTTTTTGGCTTGTTGTTGTATGAGTACCTTGGAGATTGTGATATTTTTTTTCTCTTCAGGGATTTCTGTTTATTTTTCACAGCAAAAAACCCCAACAAACTGTGGAACAAAATGAAGGAGTGTTTAGTAGCATTTATATCACCTAACTAAGTTCTGTTGCTAGAATGCTATATCAGCTTTTGGTTTTAAAAGTTCTTGAAGGGAAAGAAAATAGTATTGTAAATAATAAATCTCTTGCCCTCGGACTGAGTTGTGAAATACCTCAGAGAATCGGTGGATACAGCTGATGAAGACAAAAAGACATGCTGGACTATTTGTCTAAGCCACAACAGGAGAGTTTATATGACTTGACAATTTTAGGTGCTTATTAGGATTAAGGTGTGTTCTAGAGAAGCATAATGAGAGCCATTAGTGATTGTAGGATGCTGAAAATTGGCATCTAGAGGGATCAGGAGGAGACTGAGTTGTCTGCAGTAATGCAACAAATAAACCTGAAAGGCAGCAAGCTGAACCATGAGGTTGCATGTCACTTTAGTTATCGGGAAGTATGTTTATATATTGACTTTTGGAAACAGTGAATAGAATCCAGAACATTTTGTAAAGAATGGTAAAACATTTCTTTACTTCATCCATGTTCTAAAAATATCTCTTTTTTAAAAAAAACCTTAAAATGAAAAAAATGCAGTGGTTTATTACAGGTTTTTTGTTTACTTAGCTCTAGGGGGGAAAAAAGGCACTAAGAAATACATTTGCTCTGTTTTTCACAGATGCAAATGAGAAATGAGGACTCATTCCAGTTTACAGAATTTCTCTATTTCCATTCTTTGTGCTAAGTACTATTTAAATGCCATAATTAATGAGAGAGAAAGTGTGAGGTCCTATAAGACAGTTACCTGGTATTGTCTTCAGCCTTCTTCTCTGGGGAGCTCTAGTTTGATTATTTGTCTTCTGTTTCAGTCACTCTGGGACTGATTGTGCAGCAGTAAATCTACACTGTGCCATCCCCTCTCCTTGGTAAGTACAATTTAAAATTATGGAGAACCTCCTATCTCTCATGTTGGCTGCTTTGAACTGAATATACACCCTTCAGAACTGCATATTTTCAGAAGGTAAGTCTAGCAGGTCTCTTCTGCCTCTTGCATGACAATCAGAAGATGCAAATGATGTTATAATTAACTCTTACACTTCAGCTACAGGATCCTTCACAGATACAGCAGAAAGTCTCTGGGTTTGAGAGGGAGAACTCAGGAGGATTTGTCTTATTTTACTGGGGGAGGGATGTATTTGCTCCTCTGGATCCTGTCACACAATAGGCCATTGCTCTGTCACCATGTTTGTCAGTTTTTAGGGAAACCAGACGAGTTATAAGGGATGAGACCTATTTCTTCATCTAATCTGTGTTTCCTAGCTCACTTCAAGGCTGTCTTCTGAACATACATGCACATTTGGGGCTTGAGAGAAGGCACAGACTAGATGGTAAATGATCTTTCCACGTCTTTACAGCTTAGTTGATCCTAAGAAATATTAATTTATTCCCATTCTTAATTTGAGTGGCACAAGATGGCCTATAGAAATTCCAAGATGTGTACTTGAATGTGCCACAAACCTGAGTGCTGGTTCCTGAGCCCACAGACATCTCTGCAGAACTAGGCTGTGAGGAAGATGGGACTGCTGCAATAGGCCAGTTAAATCCATATGGGAATAGGGAGATTAAAACCACAGGGACAGCATCTTATCTTGCACTGGTGAAGGTGATGAACGTGCTTTCATATCTCAGATGGAACCTCTCCAATGGCACAAACAAATACAACTTGAAAACAATGTGCATTCACTCTGGCAAGCCCTGCAGAGACACTAGCTTAAGGCTGCTGATATCAGGCAGCTTGAAGTGTCTAGTATGCCAGTCACCACATTTTAGATTTCCCAGAATATTCTGTGTTGGAAGGGATCCACTCGTCAGCTGAAATATTTAGCTGTGTAATCTGCAAGGATCGTAAATAGAATATTAAATTCTTGAAAGAGCAGATACAGGAAAATATTTCTTATATGAGGATCATAAACAAATGCAGTTCCTTCCAAATCCCAACATCTTCTGAATCTGTTCTCTGAGCAGAAACATCTGTGCCATGGGTAAGACTCTTTTAATATAGCACAGATTCTGATTTTCATCCTTCCTTAATCTGCTTTTAGCCTTGTCAGCTGTTTCAAGGCTCTGCTGAAATTGCCGGTTCTTAGCCATATGCTGTGGCCACAGTGGGATATTGAGCTGTGGATGATCACCTCCAAGAAGTACTTACTGTATGCAAAAAGCGTGGGAGAACACAGGTTTTGGTGGAGAAACAGTGCACTTGATGCTTGTCCTCAGAGTTGAAATTATTATGGAAGAGATGAGCGTCAAATGCAGTGCCCCTGGATTATCAGTACAGTCAAACCAAAAGCAGTAGACAAAACCCCTCTGTTTCAGGACCAAGAATATTTTCCTTTGCATAATCAGGTTCTGCAAACGTGATAGTGGATGTCTGAGTCTCCCTCATTTCCCTATCCCCCTTCAGAACACACTACGGAAGGTAATTAGTCTGTGAATCTCACTAATTTCTGAAATTTGCGCACTTTCCTAGTCATATTCTACTTCATTTTTTTGGTATCGTTCCTGTGATTAAAATTCAATACTATATATTTACAGTGTATATGGAGACAGAAATGTGCTGCATTCTTTGTGTAGGATATTTCTGCTGAGGTGCAAGGGTATTGGGAACACATATTTGGAATAAGACACTTGTTCTTTTTTGTCAGTATTTAAAATGAGGCCTCTGATTTTGGGTGTTTGGTTCCAGATAACTGCTAGAACCTGGTTGCCAAGGGAGTCAAATTTTTACACAGCAGAGGACATGCAAGAATTCTGCCTGCTTACACTGGTAGCTGCTGATGGCTGTTCTGCTCCTGAACCATGCATACTGTAATATAACAGGCATGGATGATGATCATGTGTACTCATAAAATGCTTTAACAATGTATGGTTGGACATAAGAGGAGATGTTGGAAGCAAACCCTTACCAGGACTTCAACTTGGGTGCAAATGAAGAGCAATACTCACCTTCTCTGGAGTGGTGCCCTTCATTCTTGTTTCATTCATGGACCCCTAGCAAATTTCCAGTAGGAATGCAGCTCCCCCATACAGCAAATATTAACTGCCTGATAATAGATTTCCTTTTCTAATCCTGAAATGATACCCAAGTCCCAGGACTAAAAGTGATGTTATATTGTGAATGGTGCCACATCTGTCATTCTTCAGGCCACTGAAGAGGAAAAAGGGAAACCCTCTCCAAAACAGGCTGAGGGCTGTTCTTTTCACTTCTTAAAAAAAAATTCCCTCCTGTTACTACAAGGTCTCTCCCTTCTCATTCCTATTCCCACTTCCTTGCAGGAAGTGGCTGCAACAGAAGAAACTTAGAGCTTGGACTTCTGTTTCTCTTAGAGAGGTTCTGGCCCTTTTACATGAAGATGTGAATGGTGAAATGAAGATCTTTGGGACAGGGTTTGGACAGCAGTCCTGAAGTGCAGAGTAAACTGACAGAGACCACTGTGCTACCTTTCAGAGGTGATGGGAGAAACTGGGCAGCAACTGGGGAAGAGTTGGACGAACTCCAAAAATCTTAAATGTTTCTGGTTGTGTTTGCGGTTAAAATCTGGGGCATCGGAACTGCATATATTGCATAAAAAGTTTTAACTATGTTCACAAGGTGGGTAAAAAGAAGTAGCTATCATCCATCCTGAACAGGTGCCACCACCATTTCTGTGTTGACAGCAGAGAGGTGATGGATGTCATTTGCAGGATAGACTCACAGAACCCGTGGTCCTCCCTGGGTACTTTGTAAGCAGAGTGATGCACTTTTTTCTATTAAACCTACAAGTTACACATTTTGTTTCTTTTTAAAAAGTTAGATGTTTCGCGAAACATCTAAATGAGATTTAAAAGCCGAGATTTAAAAGCCAAGATTTAAAAGTTTACTTCTGGTCTGCTGGTTGAAATCTTCAGGGAGAAAACTGAATCCGACTGGAAGCCTGGTTGCTATGGACGCGGCCCCGCAGTGTCACCTGCTGGTGAACGCGGGCAGTGCGGGCCCCGCGGCATTCCCGCCGTGTGCTCCGTGCGGACACAGCTCCGCACCCCCCGGCAGAAACACAGGGCAACATCCCTTCGATTTCTGGGTCATTTAAACGCAAGGGTTTTCCGACATTTACTTAAGGAATTACGGAGTGGCTTGGGTGATACAGCTTTTGTATATGCTCGTTATATTATCGTAGCACGGTTTTAAAATCTAGGCTGTTACTGAGCCACATTTTGTTCTGAATTTACTCTTGGTCAATAATCCATAAAAGCCTAGTTCGATATCACCTGCTTGTCTTAGAACCTTAAATTACAAGTCTGTGTATACTATTGTATATGTCTAACACATATGTACGTATTTCACAGGGGTGGTCAAATGAGTGATCTTGTGGAAGAAAACTGCAAAGAAAGCTATTCTTCCCAGGAAACACCTGCAGAAGAAAATGTCTCTTCTGCTAAGGCCTGCTCAACAGGGCACAAAAAACTGGTATGACTTCTCCAGTACTATTTTATTATCAAGATAATTACCATTGCCTTCACTTTCTTCAATCGTTACAAAAATAAAAAGCTGGAGTCAAGAGGGAAATATCAGTAATAACAACAGTGAAATAAATCAAGTTTGCAGTGCAGTGATTCAGAGGGCTAAGAGCACTTCTAAGCTCAAATGAAACTGTAAATAGGGAAATAGGAGAGTAATCTTAGAGGGAGGACAATCTCCATAGCTTATTATTTGTTTCCAACTTAAAATTGCATAATTTATGGTCATGGAGAATGATGATGCTGAATATCTACCCTGGACTCCAAAGCATAACTGTCTGAACAACGTAGGTACATGAGATTGCTCTGTAGGTTTTCCAGGGGGTGCAACTGAAGGTGCACAGCATCAACCACCTCAAAAACAAGTGCACTCAAGTGCACAGATATTCTAAATCACTGTGTCAGCAGATTGGGCTGAACTGCCACTGCTTTCCACATGAGAAGCAATGAAAGTGCTCAGTTTTTTGTGGAAAATCACTGTGGACTCTGAAAGGAATGATACCTTCCAGGGCAGCTGAGAGGTGGCAAGGCAACTGCATTTACCTAAGAGGAGAAAAGATAAATTTGTATGTATTTTTGTGCCTTTACATAATGGCAAGCGTATGGTCAAAGTCTACAGTCATTGTCCAAGGGGAAATTGTTTCCTTAGACACAACTGTTAACATACATGAGCTAAGTGGAATAGTAATACATAGATATAATGTTTTAACTTCCAAAAGTATTCAGCAGTTTTAGCTAATTTCAAACACAAAGTCCATAAAATTGGCAGGAAAATGCTTCCTCCTATTTCTCAGAAAATTACGCTGTGGAGTTTTTTTGTTTGGTTGGGGGTTTTTTTGGGGTTTTTTGATTTGTTTTTTTCCTATACTTCTCACCTGTGCAAATGCTTCCTTACTGTCTTAGACATTTTCCTTGCCCCCACATAGTTTGAACAGAGATGATTTCTAGGCATCTGATGGAACAGTGAAGATAAGAATGAATCCATTTGAGATGCTTATAATCATAGTACTTGTTTTTACATTATAGATGAAGTTGAAGAACAAAACATATAAATCTGCCTCTCACAAGACAACTTGCAAACTCCATACCACTGTACCAGAGCCATGTATTCAGAGTCATGGTTGTTCCATCTCCTGTCAGGATGCACAGTTGGTAAAAGGAATACTCAATTAACAGTTAGACAAGCAAACATTTTAAACAATATGATCTTAGTTGCTTCCTTTTCCAACCTGTGTACGTTATCAAGAATATTAATTTTAATATTATTCAAAAGCCAGTGAGGACACTTGGCAGCTAATATATTTTTCAGTTGTACTGATTACAAACTTTCTGTTGTTTATTTATAGCAAAAACTTGAGAAACAATTAAAATGCTTAGCCTTTCAAAATCCAGGACCTCAGCTAGCTGACTTCAATCCTGAAACTAGGCAGCAGAAAAAGAAAGCATGCATGTCACAGATGAAGCAAAATGCTTTTTATGAGTCCAAGTAAGATTGCTAATTTATTACATACTTTACTTTAAAAAAGGGCTAGTATGCTGTTTACTGAATCTAAATGAAATTAATCAAAGCATTATTTTTTTGCAGAGGGATTTCTTATTACACATGAAAGCTGTGTTGTGAATATCAGATTTTTCTGTGCCATTTAAGAGAATTTTTATATACTTCTTTGGCATTCTTCTTTTACTATTAATGGTGGTTGCAATTAGGATATAGTGCTGGTATTTCATTATGCTGTGAGTTTGTTAAAGAGTAAATACTTATTCCTGTTCAGATATTGTCCACATTTTTTTGGTTTAGTCTCTGAATGTGTTGAAACTTCCTCTAAGAATCACTTTTTGTTCTTTCTCACAGATTTACAAAGAAGTATGACAAACATGGCAAGCTGCTTTGTAACGACATTGATTTGTGTGATTGCTTGGAAATGGACTGCCTGGGTTGCTTCTATCCTTGCCCCAAATGTAATTCAAACAAATGTGGACCAGAATGTCGCTGTAATAGAAAATGGGTTTATCATACAATTGAGACTGAAGCTGGGAATGTGATAAGTGTGCTGCCATTTTTTGTCCCTGACTGATTACGTTCTGTTAGTTTTTATGCCTGAGCAATGTTCTTTTTGTGTCACGTTTTATTAAAGTAAATCTTGGTTTTATGAATTGTCTCTACTCAAGTACCTGGCAGGGGTTCTTGTGCTTCTTTAATGCTGCCTACCTAGCAAACTTTAACCTTCCCCATCGAGTAAAAGTGTATGTTCCATTCTTCCTCATGTTTGTGAGCTCTGCTGAGGCACCTAGTCAGTCCTTTCTAAATCTTGATTTTCTAAAACTAAAGGTATCAAGACTGCTGTGGAAAGATAATTTTCTTAACCTGGGAAGATGAACCACATTACTTGTAATGAGGGGTTTTTTGCTGATTTCTCTACTTGTTCATTTACTCAGATGTGTGACACAGCTCTTTCTTTTGTGAAAACCAGTCTGAGCGTCTTTTGATGCACTCATGCCTTGTATAGATGAGGCAGGAGTCATTTGAGGTATCACTATTCTTTGAAACTTGGTCAGTACTTTCCATGTTCCTCTGTATCTAAAGCAGAGGAGATTGGAAACAACTGTATTTCTTTCTTGCTGCCCAGGCTAAAAGACTGAAACCAACATGTTCAGTCAGCACTTGTTTTTTTTTTACAGCATTTGGCACATTAAACCTTTACCAGTCAGTAATTATACAGCTAAACAGATTGTATATTTTTCCTTCTGGACAGAAAAGTCTTTTCAGTTCCAGGAGTTTCCTCTCCATGCAAGACATGACAGATTTCAAATAGCATGACTTACACCCAGTAGTCTTATGAGGTAGGTCTTTTCATTCATGATGGGTGCTCACACCCTTTTTGAGGAGTGAAAGTCCCTTTGGATCTTAAAGGGGAGAAGGCTGCAGATGGTTGCAAGTGATTTCCAGGAGCATGCTGCTAGCAGGGGAATCATTCCTTGGGCCTAGTCCTTCCTGTTCTTCAGGAGACCCTCCCAACTCTGAATGTGGCAACACTTTTCTGCCTTACAAGAGGCCATTCTCTGTGGACAAAAACCTCCTGCTCCAAGGCAACAACAACCACATGTGAAGGTTGGGGAAGAGTGCCTGGAAAGCTGCCTGGCAGGAAAGAACCTGGGGATGCTTGTTGACAGCCAAGTGAACACGAGCCAGCAGTGTTCCCAGGTGGCCAAGAAGGCTGAGGGCATCCTGGTTTGTACCAGCAATAGTGTGTCCAACAGGACCAGGAAAATGACCATCCGCTTGTACTCAGCAGTGGTGAAACCACTCCTTGAATCCTGTGTCCAGTTTTGGGGCCCTCACTAAAAGAAAGACACTGAGATGCTGGAGTTTGTCCAGAGAAGGGCAACAGGTCTGGTGAAGGATCTGAAGCACAAGTCTGATGAGGAGCAGCTGAGGGATCTGGGGTTGTTTAGACTGGAGAAAAGAAGTCTCAGGGGAGACCTCATCACTCTCTACAACTACCTGAAAGGAGGTTGTAGCCAGGTGGAGGTCAACCTATTCTTCCAGGTAACAAGTGAGAGGACAAGAGGAAATGGTCTCAGGTTGCAGCAGGGGAGGTTTAGATTAGATAGCAGGAAAAATTTCTTCATTGAAAGGTAGTCAGGCGTTGAAATAGGCTGCCCAGGGAAGTGATGGAATCACCATCCCTGGAAGTATTCAAAAGGCATATGGATATGGCACATGGGGACATACTTTAGTGGTGAATACAGTGGTGCTAACTTAACAGTTGGACTCGATGATCTTAGAAGTCTTTTCCAACCTAAACAATTCTATGATTCTATGAAAACATCCTGTACAAAAAAAAAGAAAAAAAAAAAAGAAAAAACACAAATTCATAGGAATAATATTTTCTATGGTAGTTAAAACACTTGGTAATTGGATCTAGTGGTATTCTCTCATACACCTCACTGGTCCCAAAGTATCCTTTGATTTCTGCCAGGAGTTCAGATAGCCCGTATCATCTCTGAGCTAAAATACTTAAGGTAGGTGGAAATCCTGCCAATGAATGGGGAGTTAGGGATTGGTTTCTTGTTCCAGATGTGCCATAGACTCATTCTTGACTTGATGGAACCAACAGCTCTTCAAGAAGATGAAGTGGATTTAAATCAACAGGAAGATGGCAGCATTCCTTTGACATAACCTCAAGATCTGAAATGGACAGGTTTGAATTAGTTTCTCTTTCTTTCCACTTAAAGGCAAAAACCTAAATAGTTTCTCATGTGGATTCCTGTGGTAAGGCTAGATATTACATTTTTTGAGTAATGTGGTTAAACCCAGATTGATGTAAATCTCATCATTGAATTAATTTGTGTTATTTTGTGGTTTTTAGAAGGGATTGTGACTCAGCCATAGCCAAATGCAAAGTATAAGAGAACTCCATCACAAACACACTTAGTGCAACCTTCAAAATGGAGAACAAAACCTGAAAAATACAAAGGTGAGAGCCAAGATAAGCATAAAGAATTAAAATGATGTTACAGAGACAGTTCTGTGGTTTGAGAATGCCTGAGTTCTTGCAATGGTCCTGCTAACTTTTTCCTCAGTTCCAAATGATCAATTGACAGTGCACAAGTATAATCCCTACTAAGGCAGATGTAAATGGGGAAGAAAAAACCATGTTATACATATTTGTATGTGGATTGTGAAAGTCCGTGGTAGATACAAATAACAACACAGTGGCCATATCTGATAGTTTTTTAGGTAATTACATAATGCCACAGTGCACAACATTGTGGTTTTAAATAAAACCTCTTACGAGAAAAGACAGAGAACATTTCTTAGTCTCTTGTGAAACTAGTTATGCTCCAGATGACAACAGATTATCTTACACCTTATAAATCAGTCTAAACAGAATATGATTTTCCCTAGGGAATAAGTTTGCTTTAGAAAACTGTTTAAAATAGGGGGAATCAGATCAATTAACTGTTCTGTAAGGTCTGTTAGTCCTTTTCTCTCTCCCCATTCTATCCCTCCCTAGACTATGCAAGCTAAACAGTTTGTGATGCTGTGAATTTACTTTGCCTGTCTTTTCCATGTTCAAGTGGCTGCTTTGCTCAGGCTACCAGTGATCTCTTTGTGGCTTAAGGAACGATGACAGTACAGATACATATTAAACTACTCCCTAGCTAAGATACTGTCACTAAGTCTCTTCCCTAAAAATTGATTAAGCTTGTTTAATGTGAATTCATTGTGTCTTCCACTGTATTTGCCTTGCTTACAGTCATTGTTTATCTGGAAGAAGATATTCACCCTCTGCTTTATTAGATGTTATTACTACAAAGCAATCAATTTCATGGAAATGAATAGTGTGCTCCCACATGTTTTTGTTTTTTTTTTTTTAATGTAGATAAAGATGGTTCTTCCCCTACTAGGCTCCTATGTGCTTGGGCATTGTCTTTTTAGAATCCTGTGGATTCCAAAGGCTGCACTGTGCATCTCCTGCTATTTACAAATTGAAAACTCAGAAAATCAAATAAGAGCTATGCACAGCATTTTGTTGTTTGCCTCCATTGCCCTGAGTCAGGCTTCGAGCCAGAATGTCTGTACTTTTCTATACCTGAAGTTGACACAGCTTTGAGGAAAAAAACACAATACCTGTCTTTTGATATTGCATTGGATACTTACAGCTGCTTCTAAAACAATGGACAATTTAAAGGAAATACTAATAAAAGTTTTAGCATGTGGCTCAGAAGAGGCAAAGGCAAGGGCCATTAAATAGTACAACTTTTAAGATGTGAAGGTTTGCTAAAGACTACAAACATCCAAGGCTTCATCAGATAAGTTAAGCATTGGGAGTTTTGAATAAGGCAGACCCAAGCTGTATTGGGGCACAAAGCTGACTAGCTAGCCAGCTGTAGCAAGGTTCCCACTCCCTTATCTACCTCTGTTTCTGTGTGAATAAATGGGAAAAATGATTTTCTGATTTTCTCTGATTTTCATCTGATTTTCTCTTGCTCAGTGTTTACAAATCCTTCATTAAATGTTCCACAATTAAAAATTGTATAACATAGTACTTCTGAAACACAGACTAGGAATACAATAGAACTGTAAAACAACAGGCAGAAAATGGAAATACTTTCCCCAAAGTTCCCAAATTTTATATGAAAAGTGTTATGGGATTCTTGTCCAAATGGGACTTAATGTTAGGTAACTCCAGTAAACCACATGGTATTCAATTTACCTTCACTGCTTTAAAAAAACCAAAAAATGATCAGTTCTGGGAGAAGTCAGATCTATGGTTCCAGAGATACAGTCACAGCCCAAAACCACTAAACAGTTCCTCCTGGCTTAAAATGGACTTCTGCATATGGCGAGGTGCCATTCAATCCCCCTGCATTATTAAAGTGTTAAAAAAAATACACTTTAAACTCTTTTCCAGACAATTTTTGTGATCCTTTTAAACATCTCCTATTAGAGCGCAATTGAACTTTCTCTATATCTGTCCATACCAGGGTAGAATACAGATTTGATTCACTTCAGGGGAAAAAACAAAAAAGATGGACTAAAGAAATATAGATTGATACTTTCTGAATAAATATTCAAATATCCTTAGACAAACATTTACATCAAATGCATTACAGTTGCTGCAGCTCTGTTGAGTTGGCGTGGCAGGATGGGTTGATGCAGGGAGAGCAGCCTACCTCATCTTCGGCAAGGCTTTTGACAGTGTCTCCCATAACATCCTCGTAGGTAACCTCAGGAAATGTGGCTTGAATGGACAGAGGATGTGGATCAAGAACTGGCTGAATGGCAGAGCTCAGAAGGTCATGACAGTGGAATAGAATCCAGCTGGAGGCCTGTAGTCAGTGGTGTTTCCCAGGGATCACTACTGGGTCCGGTCTTACTCGGCTTTTTCATCAAAAGCCTGGATGAAGTAATAGAATGTACCCTAAATAAGTCTGCTGATGATACAAAACTGGGGGGAGCAGCTGGTACACCTGAAAGCTGTGTTGCCTCAGTAGGACCTTGGTAGGCTGGAGAATTGGGCGTAGAGAAACCTAATGCGGTTCAACAAGGGCAAATGTAGTGTCCTGCACCTGGGGAGGAATAACCCCAAATATTACAGGTTGTGGGGGCAAGTCTATTAAAGGACAGCTCTGCAGAGAGGGACCCAGGAGTCTTGGTGGGTGACAAGTTGACCATGAGCCAGCAGTGTGCCCTTGTGGTCAAGGGGCAAATGGTATACTGGGGTACATTGGGAAGAGTGGGGCAGCAGGTTGAGGGAGGTGATCCTCTCCCCTCTAGTCGGCCTTAGTGAGAACTCATCTGGAGTGCTGTGTCCAGTTCTGTGCTTCTTAGTACAAGAAAGAAGGGAGGTACTGGAGAGGGTCCAGCAGAGGTCACAGAGATGATGAGCGATCTGGAGCATCTCTCTTATGACGAGAGACTGCGAAAGCTGGACCTGTTTAGTCTAGAGAGGACTGAGAGGGGATCTCAGTAATGCATATAATTATCTCAAGGGTGGTTGCCAAGAGGATGGTGCCAGACTCTTTTCAGTGGTGCACAGAAACAGGAGGAGGAGCAACGGACACAAACTAAAACACAAGAAATTTCATCTCAACATGAGGAAAAATTTATTTACATTGAGGGAAGCAGAACACTGGAACAGGCTTCCCAGGGAAGTTGTGGCATCTCCTTCTCTGGAGACATTCAAAACCCACCTGGATGAGTTCCTCTGTCACCTACTCTAGGTGGCCCTGCCTTGGCAGGCCAGCTGGACTGGATGATCTCCAGAGGTCCCTTCAACCCCTAACAATTCTATGATTCTGTGAGTTTCTTAGCCAGTGATTGCAATATTGACTGTAGCTCTTCCTTTGACACATTACTCATGATCTCCAAACATTTTAAAACAAATTATGCATGTTTCAGTGGGCTATTTTGTTTCATCCCACTCTATTGGGAAAACTGAGATATCACGTCTGAGCCAGCTGAAACTTTGAATGTCAGTGAGAACGTTATACTTGCATTTCATTAGCCATATAAAGATTTTGTGTCTTATAATTTGCAGAGGGCAATGCATCTCTTCTCCATCAGCCTGGCTCTGCGAAGCACTGTCCTTCTTCTAACTCTACGCAGGTGCAAAGGTATGAATGCTGGTTCCTTACAGGATTGTATCTGTTTGTGTCATAATGGCATAAATTAAGGCCTGTTGTCCACACATGAATCTTCTCTATGCTCACAGACGCCTTTTATTAGCATAGGCTATCCAGCCCTGATTTCTTTTCTGAAGAACCGCATCACCCAATTAAACTGACGACCTTCACATGACTGGTGAATGTTCATATATAACCACAAAAATAGCAAACAGTGAACCAGCAGGCAGAACCAATAAACTAAGAGTCCCCTTGTCTCTTTCCAAGCAGAATCCAAGTAGTCCCAGTGATCGTAATGAGATTACATTCTGCAAACAGAAATAACGGCAGATTGTCTCATAATGGTAAAAGTCACAAACAGCAACAGAGGAGTATTTATTTCTGATTGATGTAATTTAACTGAAACACTTAGAACTTACATTACAAGAAAAGAAAACCAAAAAAACAAAAAACTTTTTTCAACAATATTTCAAATCAATTCCTGCCACACAAATTTATACCTTGCTAACTTCAATTGCTTAAGCCACTTGCAGGCCAAAAGTGAAAATTTACGTCAAACATTACTGGTTTATTTTCAATGAGTTATAGGACAACTATTTAGTCATTACACATTGCCAGGAATATTGTCCAAATCAGATCTTGAAGAAGTTCAAGATGTTCACATGTTCTTTTGTGTGCAGCTTCAAAAGTAAGGAAAAATTACAGGGATAAAAATGGCAGAAAAAGGCTTGAGCATAGACAAAACAGTGAAAAAAATATATACTTCAATTTCTAGAAATGCAAAGCAGGGGAAACTGAGCTTTTCAAGACTATTGTCAGGGAGCAAGATTACTAACATTTATCAGCAGCTAAATGCTCTGAAGTGTCACTCCCTGATGCCTAACATTTTGTCGTGGGTGCTGAGCAGACTAATCCAAAAGCTCATCCAACATCCATTTGCATGTCAAGTGGAACATTTTGAGTCAAAATATGTCTTCCCTAGATGGATAGTTAAAACAACTGATAAAATACATTGTGTAGTATCATAAGCTCACTGAAAGAAACCTGTTTTTCACATTGGAAAAGTGGGACATGGATGCAAGTACAAATCAATAAGAGGTGAATGGTTGCATGAGAAGTATCAACTTTTTATAATTCTTTTTCAGGAACAGAAAAGGTGTTAGGAAAAAAAATTATTTAATTTTGCACTTGACAGCACCTTGTCAGGTTAGCCTAATTATTTATTATTTCCGATTAGGTGCTCTCTTTCCTGTCTTTATTCAGTGAGTCTCTGAACACAGAATCATACAGGGTGGAAGAAGCCTCCAGAGATCTTAAGTCAAACCTCCTTTGTGAAGCAGGCCCAGCTGGAGCAGGTTGCTCAGGATCCTGCCCAGATATGTTCTTAATGCTTGTTGTTTTGATTATCTATTTTGACTATTTATTTGATGCAGCAAAATGTGAAAGAAAACACTTTAAAATAGGTCCAGGTTATAAACCCAGAGAATTGGCAGCAAACCTGAGTGGCGCATCCAATATCTGTATCAGCTGGAACTTTACAAAATAACTATGCATATGTCTAGACTTCCAGCTGTCCTTGGCCATTTTGCCTGAACAAACTGTAAAAAATTCTATTCTCGGGGGAGACTTCCTAGAACAAGAAGTTACATTATTTTTTTTCAGTGTGGAGCAAAACACTCATTTCTCTTTTCCAGCCAAGTAAATTTCTTGCAAGAATATTGTTTTTTTTCATGTTTTATAAGAGTACAGAAAACCAGATGTTATAGTTGAATGTAATTGTGTTTAGTCCTAGAACAATAGCTAGAAAAATGTAACTGCCATTCATAACAATGATTGTGAGCCCCACTTCTGGTAAGAGGTATAGCACAAATATTGTTAAAGTCTCAGCTAGGAATTCTCTAGTTTAAAATTCCTGTTGGAGTACAGCCAGGCTTGTCACTTCCCCCTCTCTGCCCCCCCCCAAATTGCTTCTTTAGGCCGAGTGTACTTAAACAGACATTATCTTTTCAGATGTCCTGGCGATATTGAAATTGATCCTAGTGACTAAATTCCCTTCAGTTCAACACAGGCAAGATTTCAGCATATATGTTTATAAAACATTTCTTCACAGTACCCTCAAAAAATTCCAAGCTTTTCCACCTGCCTCTTGAGCCTACCATAATTTATTACCGTACAACTAACCCTTCATGACACACCTTATAAACCTTCACAGCCACATTCAAAAGCCTTTCGAGATTATTAAAACTTTTTGTTAGTTTCCTAGGAAAACAAGGTCTATACAGCCATGCTGCCTGTTCCTCTGTGTGCTCATCCCATTGTCTTTCAACACATTTTTCAATTTCAGCCAAATCTGATGGAAACTACAGGTCTCACAGGCATTGCATCCACTCGAGGTAATACCCTCGAAGTACAAACACACAGTCCAGTGCTGCTTCCCTCTGGGGCTTTAAACTTAATGGTTCTCTTCATGTGGCTTGACAACCTTGTACTTGGCCTGAAAAAAGGCATGGTGTGCTCTGTGCCTTACAAGTGCAGTTAAATGGCATGTGACAGGGTGGCACTCTGGGCGTCGTACCTGGGCACAGGTGATTTGAGGAAGACAGCTGCTGTAGGTTCCACGGACTCTGTTACCGACAGGGTGGCATCTTGCTATGACAAGAAAAGAATCGTGATGACAGGTGTTTTGGGCCTGTCTGTGCGCTCCCACACGGGAACAAAACGTCCCTGTGGACCTTTCCAGCTTTGAAGCTCCTGCAGAGCCGTGCGGGAAGTGCAGCCAGGAGCTGGCCACGGGCAACCAGGGACAGGACGAGAGGACAGAGCCTCAAGCTGCGCCAGGGGAGGTTTCAGTTGATCATCAGGAGGAATTTCTCCACAGAAAGGATGACTAGACTTTGGAATGGGTTGCCCAGGTAGGTGGTGGAGTCACGACCCCTGAAGGTGTTTAAGGAGCTGGACGTGGCACTTAGTGCCATGATCTAGTTGACAAGGTGGTGCTCGGTCACAGGTTGGACTCGGTGATCCCAGATGTCTTTTCCAACCTAACTGTTTCTGTGATTCCGTGAGTTCACGCTGCCCTCTCTGCGAGAGGAGCGGGGCGGAGGCGCTTGGCCCCGCCGGGCCGCCGTCGGGGGCGGGTCCGCGCCGCAGTCATGGCGGCGCCCGTGGTGCCGGAGAGCGACAGGTACCGGCGCTGCGGCTCCCCCGGGCTGCGCTGTCCCGGGCCGGGCGGGAAGGGCGGGGTAGGGCAGGGCGGGGCAGGTCCCGCCGCGGTGCTGGGGCGCGGCAGGGACAGGGCCCCTCTGACCGCCCCCTGTCCTTCCGCGCAGCATCCGCAGGGCCGTGTCGCTGCTCAACGCCGTGGACTCCGGCCGATTCCCGCGGCTGCTCTCCCGCCTTCTCCAGAAGCTGCACCTGAAGGTTGGCGGGGCGCGGAGGGCCTGCGGGGCCGTATCCCGCCGGGAGGGGCGGGAGCGGGGCCGGGCCCGGCGGCGCTGGGGCCGCGCGGCTGCGGGCGGAGCCTGATATTTCCTCGATTAGAGGATTTTAGGTCTTGATTTCATTCATCACTAATTTTTCAGAACTATTTCAGGTGGCTTAAGTAAGAGCCGGTAACTACTGGCAGAAGGTGAATGGCGTGAGGGCGAGTGGTGCTCGTAAATAACTCGAGGCCTCCTGGGGCCAGTGCCTCAGGGCGCTGTCAGAACACGCGAATTCCTTGGCCTTTGGCACAAACCACGCTCCTGCCCTCGCGAGTGTTGTCCACAAAAATCGGATTCGTTACCTTGTATGCAGCAAGCCAACAATTGCACACTCGAGAGAGACGTTGATTATTTATTTCAGAGTTGTGCAAGGCTGGGTGCCTGGTGGAATTTCACAAATCAAGCACACCAACTATCAAAACTTTTTTACTATTTATACATTTTAGCAAACAAAGGAATTAGTGTTCCTTTGCTGCAAGTTACATAGTAGTCTTATTACTTCGAATCCTGTCTTCTATTGGTTAATGATTCCATCGCTTCTCATGCTAATTAGTCCACATGCTCAGTTTCTCGCTTTTGGGTCGGTGGGTTACTTGGGTCTGTGGCTGTGAGTCGGTGGTTGCGCTCTCCTGTTGCCAGAATTACCTTTTACCCAGTCGGAGTGGATTCCGCACGGTTGCTGAGTTGGCTTTGTTAGTTTCTTCCTTATCTTTGGAGTTCTGCCACATGTCTTTGTGGACCCTAAATTCTGCATTCTTTGTATCCACTATCAGTGATACATCCTTCTTCCCAAGCTTTGTTAACCTCCCCCTAGGTCTGAGATCCCTGAAGCATGTGAACCCTAAACCTTAAAAACGCAATTCTATCGCAAGTAATTTGTTTTTCTAACACCTGGACATCACTTAGAGCTTGTTAGCCGCTCTCTGTTTTGTGGATTAAATCTCCTTTCTTGATGTTTAGGCTTCAAAATATACAAAGATCAAACATCAAAGAACATCCTTTCTAAGGAAAATTTTACGTATACCACATTGTACATCATGAGTGAAACACTAAATGATATTTTTGTTTATTTTTCTGCATTTCTGTATATCTGTCAACCAAAGCCACCTGTGAAACTGAGGTTGAAAATAAAGCCCAGAACGTTTAGTGAATATTTTTGTCACCTTTACAGAAGATATTTGTAATTGCAGAATAAATAAAAAAATAATAAAATAAATCAGTAGTAAGTTTCATTGTACAGTGCCAAAATGTCAAATGGAGACTAGGTCTAAACTTTGCACTAAATATTGCAGCAGAAACTGTAAGATAAATCTTACACCAGAAATATATTTTGTCAGTTTTGTTGTCTTTCAGTATTAGATTTTGTTTATTCCCTTGTTTTGTGTCCAGAAAAAGTAGAATAAGAAATACAGAATTTGTTTTCTGTACACATGCTACAAACTAAATGTTAAAGTATTACAGGTTAGGAGCAACATGGAAAAAAATGTGAATGTATTAAAGGTTATAATTCTGAGGCTATAAGGATTCATTTGATTCAATTGCTGAGTTTTTTTTCCTATCAAAATTACTAGCTTGGATGTTGCTGTTATTACAGAGTTTTATCGGTTGTTTTGCATGGATACTAACTCATCGTTAAATCCGAACTGTCACTAACTTCTTTGTTTTGTTTTGGTTTGTTTGTTCTTTTTTACTACTCCATAGCATTTTAGTAGCTCTTCACAGTTTTAATCAACATTTACATGAGGGACGTGGTCTTTGTAATTTAACAACTCAATCTCCTGAGTAGTTCGGCTGACCTTTCTAAAGTATTGAAGTATTTAGAGCTGGTTAAATTGCTGGAAGCTTTAAATGAACTCGCTTTCCTTAACAAAGCAGACACTCTGTGTTTCCCTCCAACAGCTAATTATTCAAATAATGCTTCCATTTTGATACTCTTGTTATGTATGTTGCAATCATTGAAATTTGTAATTGCCTCATTTTTTTATTCTGACAGCTGAATTGATTTTCTTGTTTTCTTTGCAGTTTTGCATTACTAAGCGATCTAAATATGGTGTTTTGTTGTCTGTATTATAGATTTGTTCGTAATTACATTTTAAAAGAAGGCAATATCTGCATTTAAATTACTGTTTAATTTTCTCTCCTATAATAAGTACAACTGCTGTATTTTAAAAGTACAGTACATTCTCAATGGTCTCCAGTAATAGAGTAGTTTGTAGACTCAAATCTGACTTAAAAAATAAATATGCATTAGGCCTTTATTTCCTTAATAACAGCGTGGGTGGTTTGTAGAAGGATAGCTGGAGTGGAAGAAACATACACAACTAACTTCATTACAGTTTTGCCTTCTGTTTTCTCTGGGGTCTGACTTAGGTAATGGACTTAGTACTTGTCTTATTTTTATTTATAAAAGGTGGTTGGATCTGATAATTGAAAGAAAAATATTTCTTTAGTGTCTCTCAGGTGCAAAGAGAAAGCATTTTCTTCTGCTGTATTTCAAGTAATCCTGTGGTACTGTTGACTTTCAATTTTGATTTTCAGTGAGAGGAATCGCTTGTATATTTCTGTTGGAAAAGAACTTTACTTTACTATTTCCATTTAGAAACAACTGGACAGCCACTATGTTTTTATTTTAACAAGTAAGTTCTTGGTCCTTAAATGAAATATTGTGACTAAACATTTTTGTGCTTCAGGCTGAAAGTACCTTCAGTGAAGAGGAGGAAGAAAAACTTCAAATAGCTTTTTCATTGGAAAAGCAGGATCTTCATCTGGTTCTTGAAACTATATCCTTCATTTTAGAACAGGTATTTTGTTTTCATCCTTATGCATTGATAAATGTATTTTTCTATCCCACATTAGATTTTAAAAATATAAAAGTCAAGTTAAAAATTAATTAGTGGAAACATATACCTGTAGTATATTATATATGTGTTGGGTTCATGATTTTACTGCTTTTGTTTTCATGCCTTCCTGATTTGGATGGGACTAATTGCCTTTGTGGATTGATTTTCCAGCTAATGTAGATGTTATTGGTAGAAGGGAGGTCTGCATGACTCCAAGAGAACTGATGGTAATTATGAGATATAGTTTTCCCTCTTATTCATTGTAAATAAGTCAGCCATTTTCTTGTAAGGAAAATACTACATAACATTATTGATCACTGCTTAAGTTGCCTTAAGATTCAGTTATGGAAAACTTTGATGCCCAGAAGCAGCCTGTACTGAGGTGAACAGACAAACCTCATGTTTGGAGGAGTGAATGACTGCATGATGTGGAGCTAAATACCTTGTAAACAGAGAAGGTTTTGTAATTCTGCAGTCTGCCTCTACTAAGGTTGGGAAACCATTGTATTATGTGGTAAATATGTTAACTGTCTTAAAACTTGTCACACCCATGATGTTTTCCGTCCATTTCCTGTAATTATAGAAACTATAGTCTGTGCCAGGGGAACACATAGTGATGGTCTGTTGTGGGATTTGAATCTGGTCCTTTCTTACACATCAGTTTATGATCACTACACTTAGCTGACACATTCCACTGCTTTAGAAGGAAAGCAAACAGTCTTCCCCATGGCTCCTACCAACCAAAAAAGTGAAAATGAAACCTGAGATCACCTCCAGACTAAAATTTTGAATTTTCATCTCAGCCAAGCATCAGACTTGCCTGTTTATTGCCTGGTCATTATTTCATCAGACTGCTTAATTTATATTATAATCATTGAAGATGAACAGAAAAAGCAGTTATTCTCCTCTAGGACTTGCTTCTTTTGCATTTAAAAAAAAAAAAAGGAATCCCATATGAACTACATGTATGCGAACACATGTATGTGTTCTTGCTGATAGCTGTGCTTCTTAGAGCTACTTGTTCTGTCAGGGCATAACTTTTTTAGCAGCTCTTTGGTGTATGGACACATTAGAGATAAAAGGACTTCTGTATGGTCTTTGCCACATGTATTGTTTCTTTTTTTTCCCTGATCTGGTGATGACAGAGTCCTGTTTTGAAAGGGGAGACCAGCATACTATGCACTGTGTGAAACACAAAAAAATGATGCTAATAGGGAGGTAATATCTGACTCCTTCAGTTTTGGTGAACTCTTCTTATCTTTCTGGAATACTACTTCGTAGTTCAGGCTTACTTGAATAATGTGAATTTGGAAAAGTTATCCTTTTTTCTTGGTCACAATTGGCTTCAAAGCCCAGTTTTTTTTCAGTGATCACTGCTTTGGTATTATGTACAGTGGAAATCTGTACAAATACTCAGATTTCACTTGTATGTGTGGTTTTTCATAGTTTGTCTGTCTTGAGAAGAGTTATTTGTAACGTTGCATTTTAAGATAGTTATGCTTTTCTGTCTTCTCAGTTAGAGGGTTAAGAAGAACAACAGGATGCTTGTAGTCCCCCAGTAGAGTTGCTCATAAAAATCTTGTGTGAACATGGTGGCCATCCATGGTAGAACATATCTGGAGTGACTTGTAGACCAGCGCTCAACAACAGCAGTTATTCTTCCTCTTAACAGGCAGTCTATCATAATTTGAAGCCTGTGTCATTGCAACAGCAGCTACAGAGCATTCACCTGGATCAAGACAAAGCTGAAGCATTTGCTACTGCGTGGGCGGCGGCAGGTCAAGATACCATTGAAAAGTTCAGGCAGAGGGTTTTGACCCCTCAGAAGGTAATGTTTTTTGTTGTTTGTTTGTTTTGGTGGGGGTTTTTTTGTTTTGTTTTGTTTGTTTTTCCTGAGAGAGAATAAAATTATATTGATTTGGTTTTAAGCAAGGAGTTTAAACTAAGATACAAAGTTTGTGAGAAGCCAGCATACTTATTAGCAATGCAAAGTAGTGCAACCAACTCACCCTTTGGAGGTGTTTGTGAACAGGCCTTCAGTAGGGCAAGGGTAAAATGCGGTCATGAACACTTGTGGTGGTTTAGCTCATCAGCCTGTTGATTCTCATTACTTGCATCTGAGCACCTGCCATCTTTAATTTTGTGAGCTTGTTGGATGGTGAATTTTGTGAGATACTTCTTACAATTTTGAGATACTTTTCTATGGTGGCATGATAGTCTTGCTTCCTGTGTGCCTATTACCAGTTAAAACTTGCTACATGCTATGAAGTCTCATTGTATCTTTAGCATAGATGTCTACATCTATGAGAAGGTATAATAACATCCTTTTGTTGATTCATAATAAGCCTTCAAATGCATAAGGAATTGTGTATAGAACACATAAGTGGCAGCCAAGATCAAATATTTGGAAAGAATTGTGGAACACTGACTCGCTTTTTCTTTATTTATTTTTATCATTGCTATATATCTTGTTGAGATAAGATTAATTCTGTTAGTTTATGATTTTGTTAGTAACATAGAAAAGGAATAGTTGTTCAATCATCTTGCCAAAGACTGAGGTGAGGCTGACTGACCTTTAGTTCCTGGGGTCCTACTTCTTACCCTTGAAGGTAGGAATGACATTTGCTTTCCTTAGGAATCTTGAAGATTGATGCGTGGTAGGGATGTTTGAATTTCTTTTGCTTGTTTGCATGGGTTTTTTAAGACTGATTTATTCATGCTCTGTATATGGTTGATATTGGATTCCTAATGAGGCTTTTTTTGGTCAAATGAACCTTGTAGTTTGGTATGTGATTCAGATTCCAGGAATACGGGAGTTATGGAACTGGATCAGAAAATCTATTTGTTGGATGCCCTCTCTTCAGCACCTTGGATGAAACCATAGGGGTAGAATCCTCCAGTTAACCTCTTTGATGGAAATTTATGCCTCACATTATGACTTAGAAGCTGTCTTGCACCTTCAAAGATGATAATTTCTCACCCTTACTTCCTGAACCTGGTGGTTTCAGTCTGTGTACTTGCCTGATTTCTGATTTTCTACCAGTTGAGGGAAAACTGATGTTTTTTAAAACCCGTATATCCATTATCTTTTGATTTTAATGTATATCTCTTTTGTCATTGTGAGAAATACTAAACAAGAGTGTGTTTTTTATTTCAAACAACATAGTGTGAGATTTCTCACTCTCATTCCATGGAAGTTCCCTCCTTCTAATCCTTCACGTTATCTGTCTCTGACATACTTCTGCTATATTTTGGAAGAAAATAATGTGAATAGGGTATGAAATAAACTTACTGGAATATTAATGCTTTTTGTGGTGACTTTATAATAAAGGTCTACCTCAGAGAGAGGGACCAACATGACTTAAGGTCGTGTTGAGACTGGTGAGACTGTGTCACTGTGGATCACATCAAGTTAAGTGGTGAAGTTGGTAAGGTAGAGGGAAGGGGTGTCATCCAAAGGGACCTTGAGAAGCTTGAGGGGAGGGCCTGTGTAAACTTCATGAGGTTCTTAATGCCAAGTGCAAGGTCTTGCTCCCGGGTCGGAGCATACCCTGGTATCAACACAGGCTGGGGAGATGAATGTATTGAGAGCAGCCGTGCAGAAAAACAACTTGGAGGTGCTGGTGGATGAAAATTCTGATGTGAGCCAACTATGTGGACTTGCAGCCTAGAAATCCAACTGTATCCTGGGCTGTATAAAAAGAAATGTGGCCGGCAGGTTGAGGGAGGTGATTCTGCCTCTCTGCTCCTCTCATCTGGAGTGTTAAATCCAGCTGTGGGGCCTCCAGCAGAGGACAGAGATGGACATCTTGGAACAGGTCCACAGGAGAGCCATTAAAGTCATACAAGGGCAGGAACACCTTTGCTATGAAGACAGACTGAGGGAGTTGGGATTGTTCAGCCTGGAGAAGAGAAGGCTCCAGAGAGACATTATTGTAGTCATTCAGTACTCTAAAGGGGCTACAAGAATCAAAAGGGGGCTTACAGGAGAGATGGAGAGAGACTTTTTACTGGGGCATGTAGTGACAGGACAAGGGGCAGCAGTTTTAAACTGAAGGAGGATGGATTTAGACTGGATATAAGGAAGGGGGTGATGGGGTGCGACAATGGAGCAGGCTGCTCAGAGAGGTTGTGGATGCCCCATCATTGGAAGTGTTCAAAGTGAGGTTGGATGGGGCATTGATCAGTGTGATCTACTAAAAGATGTTCCAGCCCATGACAGGGAAGTTGAACTAGATGCATTTCAAAGGTCCCTTCTAATCCAAACCATTCTACGAGTCTATGAATACTGGTTGTTGGGGGGTTTTTCACTTTCATATTCTTTTAAAAATACATACAGGCTTTCTGGTTATCACTAGCATATTTGGTAGGGGCTTTTACTGACCTTGTAGAGACTTTTACTGACCTGTTCAGGTGGTGTGGAGAACTACATATGAATTTAGAACTCAGTTTATGTGATTCTTTGGTACTTTCCCTTACTTTCTCTGTACACTTAGCAACTATGAATTTTCTTTTAAGCAGCTTTAATGGATGTGTCCATGGGATTGCTCATGTGGGTCCAAGTGTAGAATAAAGGTCGTGATTAGTGTTACTGGGGTCTTCATAGTTCTGTTCCAACGTGAGGATGTGCAGGGAAACTGTGTACAAGACAGAGTTTATGAAGTAACTAAGAAAGATCTTGGAATTTTATCATGTGTTTTACTAAAATCCATGTGGCAAAATATCCTGAGTCTCTTCTGGCACCTGGTACTTACAAGTTCTCCATTTTGAAAGTATTGAAATGCTGGCACTAAGCCTATTTTCTGTAGTGTACACAAGAAGGACCAGGCAGTAATCTTTCATTGCTGTTTTAAGATAATAAAAAATGGCAGAAAGTTTTATTTTTTATTTATCAGGGGTATGGTTTACATACTGAGCAAACACTGGAACCTGTGCTCAGGTTTGGACTCAAGACCACTAGTTATCATGAGAAGTAATTTCTTACAGATAATTTGCCTGTATGGATATGTTATTTCTCTTAAACCAGATTCTTTTCTTGCCTATAAAGTAAAGGTTGTTAAAAACCAGTATTCTGAGTTCCAGGTATGTCAGTTCTGTGCAAGAGATGTAGGTGGTAATGTGCTGGTTGATCCCTTCATTAGGATGGCAAATCAAATTGAGTTTGTTGGAGCAACAGAACAAGTATTTCCTAGAGTACTGATTAGTTGAAGATTTCTGTGGCATATTGGACACTAATTGTTTGAGAAAACCTGTTATTTTTTGAATGTAGGTCTTTTTTGTGCACACTACTTAATAGATAGGGATATTTCTTACTCGAGGAGTGAATAAAAACTGTAGAGTTAACCAAAAATTCAACAGTTTAATACTATTAGTTTTCTCACTTCATCTTTTCATTTTTCTTCACTGAGCTATTGGCAGTCTTCAGCTGCACGGGATTATTAATTATGTATATTCTGCTGTGTTAATTGGTTCATTGAATCCTTATTCATATGGCAGTGTCTGTATGATATTATTTCTTCTGTATAATGCAGTCCTAGTCAATCAGAATGATGGTATTTTTATTATTTTTTTTCCTTTGAACACATTCTTAATTTGGCCTCTATAATGACAGGTGAGTGATAATATTCCAATAGCAACCTGATCGAGTTTTTAAGTCTTTGATTGGTAATATATCAGTTTAGAAATGAGAACACATTGATCAGATTACAATGTATTTTCTCCTCTCTGCATAGAAGAGATAGACTTTTAATAGGGTTCACTCTGAATTCTTACGGCAATTTTTCATCAATTCTATTGTTTTTCTCCGCTTCCCCCTCCCCCTATATTATGTTCTCTGTATGTTTTTTTGGAATTCTGTGCAAATCTCTGTTTTAAAGGCAGATCCAACTAAATGCCTCATACCTTTCTTGTTTTGGGAAACTATTCAGGGTATCCTTAAAATATGTGTCATGAAAAAGATAAGAGTCTTATGTTGCCAAGCAAGAGAAGCTTTTTATAGCTTTCAGACAGCATTTCTTAATATAATGTTGCGTGGGAATGCAACTAGTGAAATTATGTACCTAAAATTCTTGACAGAGCTGTCAATTCTGTATCTTGAGTGCCTGTTTGAAGCCATATGGGAAAAACAATGAAAGTGGTTTTCTCAGAAACTGGCCTTCTTGCTAATGGGTGTATATGCAATGTTAATATGCTAAATTCCCTTTGCTAAAGACTGGCAAATCTACAGAAATAGTCTGAAACACTTGCATACTGTGGTGGTTATGACAAAGAGAACTGATGTACTCTGTGTATGCATGTCGTGGCAGAAAATGCTTTCAGATATCAGAAGAATGCAAAATAGGAGGAATACAGCTCAAACAGAAAGAATCTTAGTTTCCTTGTTATGTCTGATCAACTAGTCATTCTTACAGGGACAAGCAGAGGTCACGAGTAGTGTTGTACCTATGGGCGTTGTCACAATGAATTGTGAACCCACTTACATTATATGATGCCGACAGAGGCAAAGACAATGCAAATGATGAAATATGTACTAAAGACACGGCTTTGTACCTGCTGAGATTTATTTTAGTAGCCAGCTACAGCACAATTGAGTCTTATTCTTTTACTCAGCTTTGTAAGTAGGAATTTTAATTGTTTACAGTTTTTAGGTACTACTTCAGGATTTTTTAATGAGTTTCTTCCTCTCCTTGCCCTTTTCTGTCTTCTGAAAAAGGCTGAAATAAGTTTTTGAGAATGGTTTAAAACATCTGAACCTTTTATTCTGTTCCTACATGCAAAATACCATCTTTTAAAGTTGCAAAAGAGTACCATGCTTATCCTGTGTAACTT